AAGTTTAGCTTTATCAAAAAGTGGAGGAAACTCTGGACAACCAAAAGAAAATTTCTTGCATGTTAAATAAAGCAATTACAAGCACCCTGCACTGCATTAATTTCCACATTTATAGCTTAGTTTTAATTGCGGAAAACAAAATTATAACACAAGGCTGTACGAGAATAGTGAAATGAACTAGATGCTCCACCACAGCATTAATAATTAGTTCATCATATCAACTGAATATGTTAACTGAAACTTCCATACACAGAAGAATGTTGTTCAAATTCATTCAGTTCTTTTCTATAAAATATTACTGGAAACCTATTTTTCATGAATAAACCTACTTCTCCTAACAGAGAACGTCTGTACATTCCTGTGGTTAAGATAAATGCATTACCATCATACTAGCTGCTCCTAACGACCAGGTAAAATGTTCTGTCAACGAATATTAACTGTTTGAAAATTACAGTCTAAAATGATTTTGACATTGAATACAAAGATAATGTGTATATTATTAAGTTAATAAAACAAATAATTAAAAAAGCAATAACAATTTAATTATTAGATATAAAATATAAATTTGAATTTAAAACTAAATACATAACCCATTCATGTCTTACACTATCTTAGTTAATTATACCCATTACAAAATTAAATACAAATTAATCTTAAGTGTAACTAAAGCCATCTTTATATATATAAAATCTTGGCAGACACTAAAGTATGTTCACCATTAAATACAGTCATTTGAAACACATGCATGCTGTTAATTACAGAGATGTATGCCTACACAATTACTTGTATATAAACAGGGATTTTCTTGTTATATAGCAGGGGGAAGGTCATTATCAACAACATAAATTAGCTTTTTACACATCAATTAAAATTGTCTCAAACAGAAACTAGAGAAAGATCCATCAGTGGTATAGCAGAAATACGCACTAATCCCCAAATAATTTCTTGTTACAAGAGATACTTACATTATGTATACATATATTATACACAATTTAAATTCAAGTTTTGACACTGTTAACTGACTGTTGACTGTTAACTGTTGTATTAGCAGTTCAATTCAAAGCTGTGTATTATTTCAGAACCATTTACAAACCGGCAGGCCCCCAAGTGTGCACGATGATAAAACTAATTATATAAACAGCCTGTCTAGATTAGAAAATATTCAGTGAGATCAGATAATCAAATCTAGACTGAGAAGAGTGGTTAGGCAGCATTGTTCAAAGTCGATGGTTGACACTTCAAACATTATTACCACTTCTACAAGTGTCTGTGAACACAGTAACGAACCTTACAGTTCCATAAAAAAGTGTGGAAAAACCATGACATACCTTATATCCATTAAAAATTAACATCTGAATATATTCAATAATAAAGACTTTACATGATTAGAACTGTCTTAACTTGAAACATTTCAGCAATAATGGGAAGCTGTATAGGTGTCAAAGTCCCACGCCATTAAACAAAGTGCACATGAAGAGCACAAAACAAGTTAATTCTTTAGGATGAAGTATTTATTTTAAGTACAATGTAAAGTATCCAAAGCATGAACTGCTTAACACACCATATTTTCCAGTGTATAAGATGCACATCCGAAATCAAAAAAATTTTAAGGTACAAAACTAAAAATCGAACAAACTGATATATCTAACCTTACAAAAACAGATCATTCAACTGTAACAATAGTTACCATACGAAAATTATGATGACAATTAAACATTACTTCTTCGGGGGGGGAAGTTACAAGAAAAGGATATGAAACAAAATTAACCGACTGTGGCCGATTCAGAGAGCATGTGCACTGGCAAGAGTGGCAACCTTTGCCAAATAAGAAGCACAGTAATTTTGAGGCTTATTTTAACAATAAAAAAGTGTGTCTTAGACACTGGAAAAAACGGTAATATAAGCCTGAATTTCAAATGTAAATGAGTAAACCATGCTGAGTCAACTTGCCTTACATGGAAAGTAAATGCTATAAATATCTGGTTATAGATTTCTGTTATCATGCATATTAAATATCAGCAATAATTATACTATAGTGAACTAAAATCATCCATTACAGCCATAAGTATGCTTTCTCATGTTAAAATGCAGTGTACAGTATAAAGAAATAGGAGATCTTTAAATGAGTAAATTATTCACTTACATCTATATCTAGAAATTAATTTACTACTTTTTTCACATCCCACAAACAATGCACTCTTCCAGATACGCATAACAGACATTGGCTATTATATAACGTAAGTGCCATACTATTATTATCATTATTATAATAAAATATTTTAGCATTGTGATGCAAATATTGAGGGGTTTAATGACAATGCATTTCTGTATGACCTGATGTCCAGATCAGGATTTGCCACTGATATTAATCTGTGGTAATGATCGCAGCAATGACAAACCAGACTGAGCTACATCACATGGTTCAAAACACACAAGCCAGTGTTCAATCCCATCAAGAATTGGTAGCCCTTCTCTATATTTATTTATGATTCTGCAAAAGTCTAATAGCTGGTTACAGTGGCTGAATGGTGCATGGTCTGAAGTGTGGGCCTCGACTGCTCGGACACTGGGACCATGGGTTCAAATCCCAATCAAGGCATGGATGTTTGTCCGTGTCTTTCTGTCTTGTGCTGTCCTGTATAGGTAGAGGCCTTGTGACAGGCTGATTACTTGTCCAAGGAGTCCTACCAAATGTCTAAAATAGATTAAGAAACCTCCCATATGTGAGAAGACCAGGGTTCTGCAAGGACTGTAGAGTCATTCAGAGACACAACAGAAGTCTTAATTTTTGTGTTCTTATTGATTGCTTCAAGCAAATTAATTTTATATATTTCAGAAATGCCCCCAACCCCCTTCATTCTTCCAGAAGTTCCATAGTTTTACATTTTAGGGTGGTTAATTCAAGAATGGTGATCAAGAAATGCATAAAAATATGAAAGGGTAAATTCACAAACAACATGGCACATCAACATACCATAGAAGACAATTTTATTGCTAGTGCACTAGAGATGGGCCATTCATGACAGCCGTGAGTGACTCAGTCTTCTTCAGTCAGAACATCGTTTTGCCTGTGAATGATGTAGCACACACATCCCTCCTTGCCCACGAGAGTCTCGAACAAATACAAAGAATGAATTAGATTTACCTCGTGAATAGGGTGAGAAATGTCCTTCAGCGACTCACACCAAGCTCTCACTTGCCTAAGAGACTAGCATATGAAATGATTGCTTTGCAGCCAACTGAAAGAATTATAGTGGACACATTCAACAAAGAATCTGTAATAAAAGACCCTAATTATGGTAATAACATTCTGTAACATAAAATATTTATGAGCCGGGATAGCTCAGTCAGCATAGTGACTAGCTACGGGCTGGACGACCGGGGTTCGATCCCCGACAGGGGCAGAGGATTTTTCCTCTATCCTCTGCATCCAGACCGGCTCTGGGGCCCACCCAGCCTCCTCTACAATGGGTACCGGGGTCCATTCCCGGGGGTAAAGCCGGCCGAGGCGTGATGCTGACCACTCACCCCCCATCTAGTGCCGAGGTCAAGAAAGAGAGGAGCTATACTTCCTCTCACCCCAAGCGCCTACATGGCACATAGCGGGACAGACTTTAACTTAAAATATTTACAACTGCAAGCAATAATAAAGAAAATGCGGCCCGAGTGGTATTCCGTCATGTAACTAGCCAAAAATGCTGATGAGTTATACAGCATTTCACTACAACATTTTAAACTAGCATTTGCTCAATACAAAAACAGATTATTATTAGGTATGCATGACTAGAAATCTGTGCACTATGGAAGTATGCTTTACATGTTCCACCTATAACTTGTTCATTGTTGGTATTATGATATGAGCATACATATTGTTACTACGATATATTTTTATTAAATGTGAATTTGTTCTGTATAAAATAATGTTCTGACACAAATTCAACCATATAGGCCTAACATAAGTAATAATATCAGTCTTTGATCATTCCCTGGTTGATAACACCATGCAGGGCTATTATTTGAATAAAATATTGTTCAATAAAAATAACTTAGTTGGTTGCACAGCCAGTTTAACCACTAGGTAAACTATGTGGTCACCTACAGCAGCAAGCAACCAAATGAATAAAAAAGAAAAGAGAAACAGCATAAAATAAAAGATAATAAGCATCTAAAAATAGAAGAAACAGAAGGAAAGAATAAATATATGTTCATGTTCAGGGCTTTGTATTATGCTGCCAACACTTGGAATCACATACAAACGGTGGATGTGGCATAGTGATGTCAATAATGTGATCAGTCAGCATATTTCCTGACAGACAAAATACTGATCTGAAGAAGATTGTTCCTACATTTGCCGAGCTGAAAATGCATATAATAAAATTATAAGCTGTAACATGTATTTTGTGTAGGCCAAACATCAAAAGTGGTGTGTTGCGTGCGCTAGGCAAAAAAAGCTAAAAGAATCAACATATTGATGCTCAGACTGTCAGGCATGGTTCTGTCTGGAAGAATGTTTCAGAATCTACCACACGAAACTAAATTTCAAAGTAAATACCAAAAATGGGTGTGGAGAAAGAGGATTTGGAACAAAAATGAGGTCAAATTAAATATGACGTTCCACAAATACCTTACTTAAAAAGTCACACACTTATGTTCAATAGTTGATGACATACTTGGGTTTAACTATGTTGTAGCAAAAACATCAGGGCATTTAGAAAATAGTAAAGAACCATGGTTTCACATCTGGTATTTAAATGGCTACACTGATGTTTTATCACTCACTTGTCTACAAAAATCCAACTCAACTACATATAATGGCTATTGTAAATTAATGTACATCACATAAATTACGTATGAAAAAAAAGTTGTGTTTATCTTCTAAAAATGTAATAATAAAGATACATTCATTTTATGTACTGATGTCAAAATCTGCTTAAGTTATTCATTTGTACTAACAACGTGCACACTCCAAGTTCTAGCTAAGATAAACTTCATATTACATGCTGGCAAAGGAATGGGGTAATGAGAACGATCCATGCCTCCTCTTATCCTATCATCCTATGCCCTTGCACTGCATGACATTCAAATTCAACTCCCACGACAACCAATTAAAACAAAACCTTCATTTCTAGCGGCTCTCTCAACATCAGAATATAGCCTTGTGAAGCAGGTACATGCAACAGAGCTTGAAACTGTAGATTTGACTGGTGTGGTAAGAGGTCAGCATGATCTTGTGGCCCCTATCCTACTGAACTACAGCAACAAATTGATTATTTTACCAGTACCTATACTTCTTGACACAATCATTTCCAAGGTCAACAACGATTATATGATGATCACTAGTGACAGCCATACCGCTAGGCCGTTTGAGTCGAGAATCATAAGAGTCAATGGTTGAGATAAGCGTTCCTTCAGTAAACCTAAGGACTTGAACATAATTACGATTCTTCTCTGAGCGGGTGGCAATGATGAGATCCTCTCCATCTACCACCACGCCTCCATACCTCCCTCGACCTATGTGACAGAATTTGAGCATGTTTAAGACACACATTTTCTCTTTGGAAAATGTAATTGTATTTCACTGTAAAAGAGAGTAATCTTTTTATTTCAAATATGTGACAGAAGCTTACACAAACATGCTTTGATTTAAAGGATGGCCATTTATTTTAAAGATTAACACTGTGTCGTCATGCACGACAAAAATGTATTGCTAAACGGTATATTTGGTTTAAAATCAGAAACAATTCTTAGAATAATTTCAACTGTCTATCTTCAAAATTAAATCCAAGACATAAGTGGAAAAGAACAAACATGTTTGGGAGAGGAGGCAATACTAGAAAACTGTCCAATTCCCGTTTTTCATCGGCTGCTTGAAATAACATATATGCAGAAGAGAAACATGTCTAAAATGCTAAGTCAGGAGGGATGTTTACTTTCAGTAGCATGCTCCAAAAACATATGGAAAAAGGATCAATTTACAGCATCAGTCACACAGTACTTCAAAAACATGCACATCAGAAACTTATTTCGTAACTGGTAAGTCAGAGAACAAAGTCATAAAAGAACAAAAATGCTTAGATTTATAGAAGGCCTACTACAGAAGAGGATAAATATACAAAGTGCTATAACAACATTTTTAATTTTGAGAAATTCTATGATGAATGAAGAAATATAAGAAATTGATAACTTCTTCTTCTTCTTCTTTTTCCGGTTTAACAATGTTTGTAAATTTTCCGGAACAGTTTACGGGTCCCAAACTTTTCAGTTGGCTTGATCTATGGACATTCGGTAGGACTCCTTGGACGAGGGATCGGCCCGTCGCAAGGCCTCTACCTGTACACAGGACAACACAACACAGAAAAACATCCATGACTTGAGTGGGATTCGAACCCACGGTTCCCGCGACCAAGCGGCACAAGACCCATGCCTCAGACCGCGCGGCCACTGCGGACCCCAAAATTGATAACTTAAAATACAAATTTAATTTTAACACAACCACCAAGTTATGGTTGTAAAGTCTATCCACCTATTTCATCTGTGCAAGGCACTTAGTATAATATTTCTCATTCAAAAACACTATATCGTGTCAAGATGGCATCGGGCAGTAGAACAGGCAAATGGGCAATACTCATTAGCACAAACTACCTATTAGTTTAGATCACAGAACTTTAAAATGGCACAAGGAACAAAAGGTATGGAAATGTATTTATAAATAATGGCTGCATTCATTAATAAAGTGACCTGGTGGTACAGGAAATGAGCTTGGTGGTCATAGAAATGGAATATTATGCTCACTTTGGTAAGCAGTGGTCAACACACAGGCAAATTTATTCATTTCTATTCATCAATAGCGGAAAGGTTAGGGATATTTCAAAGACTCATTTAAAACATTTTCCTTATTTAGAGTGAACAAACCAACAACTATTAACACTGTAATGGACTCTGTTGCCATACGTGTTTCGACCTCAAGAGGTCATCATCAGTGGCATCAGGGAAATTAATACATACCGTCAAATGGTTCGAGCAAATTTAATAATTAAAATAAAAGGTAATTGACAAGATGGCTGCACTAGATGCTGTTATTCACAGGAGTAAAATTCGCACTTAGATGTTAGCTAGTGCAGTCATCTTGTCAATTACCTTTTATTTTAATTATTAAATTTGCTCGAACCATTTGACGGTATGTATTAATTTCCCTGATGCCACTGATGATGACCTCTTGAGGTCGAAACGCATATGGCAATAGTGTCCATTATAGTGTTAATAGTTGTTGGTTTGTTCACTCTATATTCTAATACACTACACGGCATGCAAAGTTTTAAGATTTTCCTTATTTGTTACCTAACAATAAGAAATTAGCTAAATGAAATTTTTTTAACCTTTTCCTTCTGGATAAAGTTCTTCAAGGAAGTCCCCTTTTGCAGAGAATACTTGGATGCGGGAGTCAGCAACAATAATCTCACCACTTGGCCCAACTGTTACTGATGAGATCAAGTTGAAGTACCCTCTCTGACTGCCTTTCTTCCCAACCTGTGAAATTAGTAATAAAAAAAATTAAAATAACTTGCACTGTAGAAACAAACAAGATTTGATATCTGACAAGAAAATTCACCCCTGCTTCTTGTCTCAGTACTGAGATACACCGACTTGTTTGGGTGTTGCATTTGCAAATAAAAATTGCAGATATTTAGAAGCAGTTCATTTTAAAAATTGCTGAACCTCTGTGGTTGTGATTTGTTTTCCAGCAACTCCAATAATCTCGGGCATTTGTGTCACACTGCAACATTTGCGACATGATGGAGGAATCCGAAACCTATAGCACGTGACAAATGATTCTGATCCAGTATTTGATAACGAGGCAAGAAGATAACTTGTTCAGATCAGTACATACACACTAACTTCCATAATGAGTTCAGATTTTTACTTAAAAATTATATTCATTTAGTACAACAGTAAAAATAATGTGCAGGGAAGTGATTTAACAGCCACAGTTTCATGAAAGCAGAAGTCATCTTTATGGCTATGACATCACATAACCGAACTGTCAAATGCAGGAATTTCTGTGAGAACATCTGATCTGGCACACACTCCATTGGTCCTTCAGATACTGCATTCACCAGCAGATATGAACATACAATTCTGTGTTCCTATGCAAAGAGGGAAGGAGCTTCAGGACATTCTAAATATTATCCAAATGATGACGGCTGTTTTGTGGGTTGTAGCACCATGTAGTCTGGTAGAAAACAGCCATCTTCAAACTCACTGTCATGAAGACCTGAAATCTCATACTCATTCAAATGCAAACTAATAACCGAAACAATTCCGCAACAGTAGTTCTGGGGATGCGGAACTGTTGGATATACTAAGCTCAGACCAAAGATGTGTCCTCTGCTTTAGATACATTCGATTAAGCATTTTATCCACTATCCCTGTCACATTTACACCAAGTTCCATGACTTTATAAGGGCCCAAGAATTTGTCACTCCAAAATCATAAAATTCTCGAGACAATCAATAATAAAGTACATTTGTCATTTCTAAACAATAAAACAGGAAACATACCTGGAAAAGAATCTTTCCATCAGAATCAAATACAAAGACACAACTGAGGCCATTGTCTGCTACAAGAACATGACCATATCCTCTGTCCACCGCTACATCTATTGGTTCCTAGAAAATAAAATATATGAATAAGTACAATAATCAAATACGTATCAAAGTCTAAACAGCATCAGTTTAAAGTAAGCCTTCCTTTAAATAGTTCTTATGAACATATGAGTATCATATGTTGATTTAACATCTGCTTGCTACTAAAAACAGCATTTCACTTGAGACAGTTATGTTACATTACTTTATGCAGAAAGTCTAAAAACTTGGGAAACTGAGTCAATACGTACAAAGCATCAATAGATGCCACTAGGAAACAAACAAAAACATTACTACTTTTAGGGCCAAGGCTGAGAATGACAATTTACTTAGGATGATTCAACTATTTGTACTCTGAAAGGAAAATTCTATGAAAAATCTTTGGCCCCCTAAAGAATAATGATGGATTGTATAGAATTAGATATAATGCGGAGTTAGAAGAATTGATCCATCATGAGCACGTTGTGAGATATATTAAATCACGATGGTTAAGATGGGCGGGATATGTGGTCAGAATGGGAGAGGACAGACTGCCACATTTGGTATTAAACCAGAAATTGTGGGGAACAAGACCTAAAGGAAGACCAAGGGGGAGGTGGATTGATGCGATAGAGGAAGATATGAGAAAGATGAAAGTGTGCAACTGGAAGAAGGTAGCTCAAGATAGGAAGAGATGGGGACATATTGTTCGGGATGCCAGAGCCCACCACGGGCTGTAGTGCAAGAGAAGAAGAGAAGAGAAGATTCAACTATTTGGGTCAGGAGTGTGTTACTGAAACAAGATACTAAGTTAACATTAAAATTTATGGCCTTTACCTGGAAAGCATTGTGTGAAAAGTTAGAAAGTGTGTCACCGTGGAGAGGAGACAACTCGGTAACAGTTTTTGTACGCCAGTTAACTATAACTAGCCCATTGTTTGAAACAGCAATACCAGTGCAACTCCTCCCTGCCAGACCCTCATTTTCTATGTGACGAACAAACTCCAGGTCTGGTGTTAGCACCTGAAACACACATATTGCATTAGCATTCAGAGTAAACCAGAATGACAATAACGCAGCCCTCAGAGATTTAAGACACAGCCTACTTTAATGTACTCTCTCATGTACGAAGATACTGAGGGCTCTTTATTTTACCTGTGAACTTTCACAATTTGAAAGAAGAGCATAATAGAAAAGGATTTGAGGTTCTCATAGCAGTGAGTATGAAGATGGCTGTCTTCTGAGTTGTAATGCCATGCAGTCTGGTAGATATTTACCGACGTTTAAGAGGTACTTGCTACCTCCAAGATTACGGATATGAAGAATAGGTACCTCTGACATGTTAGTAAACTTCTACCAGACTACACAGCCATCTTCATTTCTAAAAAATCTGCTGTATTGTATGTTAACATCAGCCGCTAACACACACAAGGTTGTAGTAAAAGTAATAGCAATAGTTATAATTATACACATGCAAGATAATGCATAGAAATCTGCAGTAACTCTGCCTGTTTGGAAAGGGAAAGAAACTCTACTGCAGAAAAAGAATAAAACATTACAGGAACTACGGATAAGTAATTAATACTGGTTGTACCTCAACTTAAGACTGATGATACGACGTGGTATTTCTCCAGACAGGGGCAAGTGCAAGCAGAAGATTACTAGATTTATTGCAAAAATATGCATAAACTTCTTTTTTGCATAGTTACCTAATGTTCTGATACTATAATGCAGTGTCTGACAGCTTGGAAACACAGAATAATTATCACTAGACATTTATTTTACACTATCAAATTTCATAAAAGAGATTGAATTACTTCAAGAAACATAAGTTTTGTAAAAGAGAAGCACATTTCAAATATTTCTGTAACTTCTGACCTTTATTCTGGAATTGCCTGTATCCACAACATATATGGTTCCTCCATCAGCCTCGTCAATAGCGACTGCGACAGGCTGAAGAAACTCGTCTTTTCCTGAGCCACGAGACCCATACACTGATGTTGGATTATTGTGTTCAGTCACATCAAAAAACAGAGGACAGTCTTTAATTGGACGTTCAAACACAGACAATTTTAACACATATCGTCCTGCGGCAGGAGGTCGGAACTTGATCCTGTATGTTCCGTCTTCGATATCCTCGATCTGAGAATCTAGTGCTGCTGATTCACTGCCAGAGACATCCAATGGCAGAACTTCTACTGTTACAGGATCACCTCCTGATGTACGAGGATCTCCATGGTAATCTACCTGTGGAAAACAATCTAATGATACAGCAGTGAACCTTTAGCAGCAATTCAACTATACACAAAGCAACCAAATTAACCAAAGGTTATGAAGACAAAGAAGTATGATAATGCAGGACTACTGTGGCTGAAATTTAGGTGGCATAACAACTCAAGCCTTATTGAGTCATCAAAGAACACTGCCTTATTATTCTCAGGCTTAATATGTTAACACACATGCAATATTTTGACACTAACTGTCTCTGTCATGAATATGATGTTGATGTTTATTTGCTCAAAAATGAGCTTGCTGCTTCTTTACAATTGCAACCAAATGGAAATGAGCCTCACCAGGAAAATGTTGCAGGGTAGAACCTTTTTATGTCTTACCCAATGACTAAATTCAGCCTCTGTTGACAATTCAATTTTACATGGGATGTGTGCGCTCAAAATGTGCAAATATTGAATTACTAAATTCATGTTCAGTTCAAAGTCTTTATTAAGCTTTTAAAGCCAAGTGGGATCTACATATATCAAATTTAAAAAATAGTAACTGTGCATTTTGTATATATGAGTCTTGCACGAATATTAGTGTAAACAATGACTATTTCCTTAAACAGCATTAACAAATTGATCTGTATAATGGTGAAGTGCTGTTTCCTTTGTGGTAAAGTCTGAATTCATTAATACTATTTCAAGAAAAAGTCTTAAACATGTTAAACATGTAGAAATTTTTAAACACATAGGTGCCTTGCCCAGACAGTGTACATGATAGTCGTTCCCATTTATACATAAATAATAACATGCTTTACATGCAAGCTTTATAGAAATAAATATCATTGTGACCTGGAGGCAAAAAACCCCAGATCCAATGGGTTAAGGATTCTCATAATTGCATAGTTCTACACCTAACCAGTAAAAGAAAGACACCAAACACAATATTTGTATCACGACACTTACTGTGTGAAGAAAAGCTGTGGTCTCCAGTTGGGCTATAACTGGACCGTTTAATTGCGCTGTGCACAAGCTGGGAAACGTAGTGCTTGTACGAACACGACCCAACTGAGAAAGAGCAGTTTCAAGGGTTGCATAGCTATCATTGTGAGTGAAATCACATGTGAGAAATGCGTTTTCTCGAGGTTCTCCAAGGGTCCCAGCAGCATCTAACTTTTCACTTAGGCTTCCAATACGTTGCGTGATGTTGCGCACCTCCACCTGATACTGCAAACCTTCACATTCTCTCTCCACCTGAACACAGGTAAGTTATGTTTTAATCAATATAATAATGTCACTGGAGATCCATATACAGGCATACCTCGTTTTATTGCACTTCGCAGATATTGCGTTTTTTATAAATTCAAGGTTTGTGGCAACCCTGCGTCGAGCAAGTCTATCAGCGCCATTTTCCCAACAGCATGTGCTCAGTTCGTGTCTCTATGTCACGTTTTGGTAATTCTCGCAATGTTCCTTTAGACATAATGCACATTTAACAGACTACAGTATAGTGTAAACATAACTTTTATATGCACCGGGAAACCAAAAAATTCATGTGACTCGCTTTATTTTGGTGGTCTGGAACCGAACCCGCAATATCTCCGAAGTATGCCTGTATATGGCAAGTGAAAGTTTAAAAAAAATCCTCAGAATACGGGACTAAATATTAGGGAAGTGAAAAATCACTCACAATCTACATTATAATTAGTAAAATTTGTGCCTAAACAATCAGAATCTTAAGTTAATAGTAAATCTGAATTATAAAACTGCTATAATACATCAATTTTCTGTGCTTGTAGATAACAAATTTATCTTCTTCTTCTGTCATTCAAGGTTAGGCTATGAGCATCTTCAGATTCAGAAGTTTCAATGCACACTTTTGAACAAATTTTTATAACCATGATAAATATGTCACATCACACAAAGAAATGCTCATCACAGTTCTTCTGCAGCACAAATTATTATCATACAAGGCTTCAATCTCCCCGAAAGGAATTCATGGCCCAATTAAATTGAGGCATTTCATTAATGCAAGCCCAATTCAGTGTGCCAGTACATGATAAGAAAGGCCTTGTAAGCAATGCTTAACAATTAGTGTTCTGAAAAATGCACATTACTTCCTAAAAACAAAGATAAAATAGTGGCATGAAACTACGCTGATTTGCAGATGGTTAACGTGTTTATTTTCTCACCTTATTTTTTTCACCCTCTATAAGAGCTAGTTGTTCTTCCAGAATTTTTCTCTTTTCCTCGCATGCTGTACCTACAGCAGCCACCATTTCTTGTTGCCTATGCTCCAGGAGTGCAGAAACATCTTGAAATGTTCTGTTCACTTGATCCAAGCAATGTTCTGTAGCCAAGTTCAACCTGTGCAGTTCCTGCGTCACAGCATCCTGCGCTTGTGATAGCTGTCCATGAAAAACATATATATACACTTCTTCTTTATTACGCCGTCTCCTTTACAGGAGGTTGGCGACATATTACGAACAGGATCCTTCCATTCTTTTCTCGGACTCGGACCTGTTCATATATGTTTTTTAGGCGGGTGATACAGAATTGGTTTGCCATTGCTTTCGTCTGTGTGTATGGAGTATGGAGTAATCGTTGGGATGCCACGGAGAAGCCCCGGAGGAAAACTCCGTGTTGCCTAGATCACAGCCTTGCCCAACACAAGTTATAAATTCGGGCACCGCCGGGAATCGAACTCGATTACAAGGCCAGCGTTCTAACCGCAAGACCACCGTGGCGGTCCATATATACACTTACAAGTCACAAATTCAAATACAGACAAACCTATTCAGTTGTTACATATAAGTGGGCATTTTTTCAAAGTAAAACATGGTCTACTGTTATGTGAAGAGCAGTTACTATGCAATATAGTACAGACAGTCGGAAAACCACAAAATGTACTTTCAGCTTCCGAAATAATAAGATGACACGTTGTATTTGTGAGTTTTCAGTATATTAATAAATCTAAACTCCCAAGTACAGAATACAGCACAGATGAAAAGTGTTGTGTCTTCTTGTGTCAGCATCTCTCCAGAGACTCACATTTAGTAAAGTTTATTTTTTAAATTATACAATTTACAACATTCAAAACAAAAATTTAAAAGAAAAAGGTTTTTTGTAGTCCACTGTTACTATCATGGAGGCATTCTGGGAGCACTGGACCTCAGTGAAGTTGAGACAGATCATTTCAGTGTTTTATTGTTATAAGGCATGAAAACTCCACGAAAGTCATGAAAATACATGTAAAGTGTAAATGGCTGGTGGCACTGAATACCCATGAATTCTGAGCCAACAAATGCACTAATTATAAGATTTCTGATACAACTAATCTGTGTCACATTTCTGCATTAAATTTATGGGCTATATATACACATGCGCCCGCACACACACACACACACACACTCTGTATGTACTTTTTAAGCCTACAAATATTAATAGAGTACATGCCCCTAATTTTAATGAAGAAACAATTTGAAAACAATATCACTGCAGCTGACCGATTAGGAAAATGGTAACCAACGCAGTATGTAGTGAAAAGGTTGTACCCTAGCACAGCCACAAAAAAATCTCCCATTACAATTGATACATACCTTAGATATGCACTCATTAGCCTTGTAGAGGAGGATCTCGGACATGCGTTTGATTGCGATGGAGAAAGGAATGATAGTGTGTTCACAGCTCGTTCCGCTTGTGCTGTGACTCCCACCAGTGCAGATTGTACAGAACACAGTGTCACAAGTCTCACAGAACAGCAGTTCCTGTAGCGTTTAAGAAATGAATCTTTGGTGATAACAGTCATAACTCAGAATACCACAATCCAAATGTTCACTAATCTACAACCTGAAATATCACGTTGCTTACATCTGTGTGGAGTTTCTTGAAGTGGGTGTTTCAGCAGTAGAAATGCAGATTGGCCGCTATTAATCATGGGACAATTTCTTTATGCAGATCCTGACTGGTGCAGTAAGGCTGACTAAAAGGATGATAAGTCTTGGTTTCAATTTTCCAGCACTGATCACCCTGATTTTATCTGCTGGTTAACCTTAAAGAAATGGGCTGTGGACGCAAAAGGAGACTACTGACCTCATGGATCAATGAAGTGCATTGTCATGCGTGTATAACCTCACATTACATCTCCATTGCAAGAATAACCAGCTGAAGAAGAAAGCTGTGTGTTTGGTACCTACTAATTTATATTTTAGTATTCTGTGCTAACATTGCCTGATATAATGTTAGGAAGAAATGTCACGCTGTTCTTTGTGGTCTGTTCAAGACATTACCAAAGTGCCTAGAATTGTCAAGCAGAATGAAAATTATACCTGAAAACATTTGGAGCTGTGTAGACAAAACACTGGTAAGAAATACTTAAAGCGGTCCATCCACGTACAAGTCCGGCTCGGCTCGGATTCCATTGAGCCAAACTTGTTTGTGGGTGGGGTGTCGCGAGCCGAGTCTGCTATGCATGTGTGGTGAAATATATCCGAGCCCGGCTCCCGAGTCAAGCTCGCCGAGCCAGACTCGTGCGTGGATGGGCCGCTTTAGAAACAGTAACTTTAGGCAAATTAATATGCACTGTTACATATCTTTTGTTTATTAAGAGATCTGGAATATAAAGAGTGAAATTTAAAAAAGGATTGTAAAACTTATTTTTTTAACTTATGGCAATGTTCTGTAGCAGAAAGTACAGATAACAAATTAACAAAGTTAAAATTCAATTAGATTATTTTTGTTCATTCGGGGTTCTACAATAAATAGTGAGATTTATACGTGTTTACACACACACGCTTACACATGAAGAGAATATTTTTAACCCAAACAGCATGCATACATTCCAGACGCCATGGTTATCTCACACTTTTGATTTGTGCGGGCCTGCTTATAAGTGTGTTAGGAGTTTTTCTATCATTCTTACACACTTTGAGTTTTGTACACATACAAATGCACGTGTCTGCATGTCAGTAGCCCCTACCTGATTTATGTGTACAGAACACTTCGGAATGACTTCCCTCCGCTGTCGTGACATCAGATCCAACAGCTGATTGACAAGAAATGAAGGTGGAAGGGCACTCACTCCTCCCCGCGGGATCGTGATCAACTCCCGACAGATGGGGCAACGAAATGATCCAGTTTCCCGTGTCTGAGAGGCTGCGATCCTCGACAGGCAATGCAAACACACCGTATGTGAGCACGGGAGTAATTTTGGTGTGTGCTCACTCCCATCATACATACCTGCATAGAGAAATGTGAATAATTAAGAAACACAAACACTTCTGCTTAAACTAATTAACACTGCCTACTGTTTTTAATTTAATATAATTATAAGATATGAATGAACATGACAAATAACTTATGATAAACGTGGAAAAAAACAATATATTTAAGAACTGGTGAAAAAGTAATTCCAATTTATAAAATGGAGATGACATTCGTGCACAACAGGTATCAAAGGTACAGAAATTTATAATAAATACTCACAGAGACATGTGCCACAGGTCAAAAAGCTCTCGTTGAAGTCTTCGTAGTTGATGGAAACAGTCTCCACCAATGTGGAGCTCATGCTCACCATCCTCTCCCCGAGACGTGTCCTGGGAAAAAAATAAAGAAAATATAACACTTGAATCTTTAAAAATGCAGATAAGAGTTAATGCAGCTACAGGTAAACCCGTCTTTGGCGCCTTACCGAGGTCCATAACACAAAAACGTATGGGGGACTTGTGTAAAACAGATACGAACATGCAAGGCTTGATGATTTCACAGAATCTGACGCATCTTGTTGCCTGAGAAGACTTAATTCAGATACAAACATCATGGTAAGCTAATGTTACGTGTCGGAATTGACACTCCATTCCAGAAGCAAGGACATTTTTCAGTATATGAACCATATCAGCAAACCAAAATCTTTCTTGGAACACAGTTGAAGAGATATTCTTCTAAAATACATTGGAAAATATTACTGCTGACATACAACTAGTTTCACCATTTCTGATAACTGCATGGATTAAATGTTCAGTCTTAGGTTACGAGATGTCCTATGTACATGGTATTGTTGCTTATCTGAATGACCTTAATATACTGACTTCATAAACAAATAACCCCAGATTGCTACAATAATACAAGTTTTTAGTCAGCTAAGATGGGGAAATAGAATATGTGGACAGAATTTTGATGGGGAAGGCTCTTTGAAAGCAACTGCTTTCAAGATAAAAAACAAAAAAATATAACGTACTGGAAACCAGTTCCTTAGTTTCAATGACACACCACGTCCCCTACAGTTAATTTTATTCAAAGAACACATAAGAATCCAACTTTCACATAAATGTTCAAACGCTGAAAGTTGCGACTATCGATAAATACTGTGATACTGGATTGGAAGAAGATGAAACAAGTGCAGACAGCACTCAATCTTAAGAGTGGTATTCACTATGTCAGAGGACGGTCACTTCCAGCCAGCATGGACTGACTACTCTTTCCATATGAGGGCCACAACAAACATCACAATGTTTGCGCCTGCTATCAGCAGCTGTCTGCGATAAGATACCGGTACTTAAGTCGATTATCGGTAATGACTGCTTGTGTTCGATATATCTGGGAGAAGTCTTCAGTGCTACATCTACACCGAATCAATAGGACTGGTTATTTAGCGTCGAATGAGATAAAGTTGACCGTGAGAGATGGATATGAAACGGGCGTAGACAAACGCAATTGTGACCTTTTAATAAACGACATTTCGTTCCAACAGCCGATAAAAACAAAGGAAACTATCGGTCAAGAAAAAGTAGGTTGATGCTTAATGAATTATTTCGTTGAAAGGATAGCTTCATTTAGTAACAAATTTTGATGTTCACATGTAGAAAAGTTGGGATATTAAAGAACGTTATCTTGGTTCAGGAAAAGTTTGAATATGAGGTATATGAAACAACATAATGGAGAACAACACATGAAAATAATCTTTATGGCAATGAACTAGACACCGAAAAATTGCAGTTACTTAATCATGGACGTTGAGATGAACGGGACATTGTCACATTTCATTTTCCCCACACGCAGCACTACATTCCATATGTGGTGCCTTACCTCCATAAACTGCCAATGAACACTCCTATAATGCGTCTTAAGTCTTAAAAGTATGTAAAGGTTTCATGGCACAATGTTGAAACGTGGGTGTTTGAAACCACACACAAAACCGCTGTTGGCAACCAGAATCCACGCTTCCATCTTAGGAACCTCCAAATACGATACAGGCAAGCGATCTTATCCCTGTGATCGCTGTGTGTACACGTGTGCCTTTATTCAACGGTCATGGTGAAGAACATCCGTTCATTCCAAAATAGAATTCTGCGGGGTGTGAGGTCTCGTGCTGTCTGTGACGAATTTTTCCGTGTATGTGTTGTATTTAAAGATTAAGTATTCAATGCATGTACAGTCGTGTTACATTATGGTGGCCACTGCATCGTGGCTGCACATGTACATGTGTACATTATCAATGGAAGGGGGGGATATGGATCATGCGAAACATGTACATTATCAGTGGAAGGGGGGGATATGGATCATGCGAACTAATTAAACTACAAGTTAAATAAGATAGTGTAATTGCGTCATATTGTGAATATTATATCAATTATTTATTTTTAATCCGTCTGATCACAATATAATTTTATTTAAAATTTCTTATAATTAAGATAATAAAATATCATTCATGTTCCTTATCGATTGATCGAAGTAACCGGGGCGAATATTTGCGTTACATGTCCGCAAGAAGTAACGGGCAAGGACATTAGACATAAGGAAGCAAATACTATTGTCCATACCACAAACACTTTTTCCCAACGGCAGTACTTTGTACCTAGCTATGTTAGTTCATGTGTAGATAATGTCTTTGGTTTGCATAGTACATGCTTTTACTTCTACCCGCAAATTAGTTATGTAGACGAAAAACACAGTCAAATCCCAGACACTGTAAAAGTCCACTGGTAGTACAAATCCCGCTCATGCAACATCAATATATTTCATGACAAATTTACAGTCAATGTTTGCAGCTATTTTATAACTACAATATCACTCCTTTCCACCACCGACATCTTAACACAAAGTCTTGATTTTCTCCCCAATAATTTTATCTTAAATATCCTCTCGCACAACCTAGATGCTGTCATAGTACTGTACAGGTAGGTTACCATGGTAGCCAAATGATGGATAATGGGGGGAGGGTAGAAACGGAGCGTTTCAGTACTAGTCTGGCAGGAAACATTTGCTCTGCTCCGATCCTTCGTCCATTTGTTCACTGCATTGCGTGCAGTGACACACGTCAGAGATGGCTAACACCAGTAAAATAACGTTTAACAAAGTAATTCACAGTAACAGGGAGATAATAATAATGTTGTACTGTACCGATGTTTTCTTAACAATCCGTAGAACGCCTGCTAACGAGACCCTGACGCGGCCGGTTAGACCGAATGGCAACTCTCAACATAGCCTGCGCGTATAGCGCCTTGGTGCTCCTCGGATGCAGGTCTTTAATCTACAAGAAAGCTAATCCTCTCAAAGGGTAAGAGCTCGGGCACTTACTCCACAAACACGCAAAGAATTTTTTAATGCGATGAAAAAAACGCCACTTTTCTTTAAAGACGTTTGTCGAGCTGTCAGAAACTATGATTAAATGTGGTATAGACGGTATGTGATAAGGTATGAGCATAAACGATTAGCAGTGGCGTCAAGACCGATTTAAAATCCTGTCAGGACTTCTGATCCGGTGCCATTTTCTACAACATAAATATACAGTGTCCCGTTGACAGCACACTGGGTCTTCGCGGTGGGACGCCCGTGTCTTATCGCCTGAACGGGACAGTGCGAAATTTGACAGAAATAATAGTTTCATTCACAAACAACTCATAACATGGCATACGATTTCATCTAGACAATATATGAATTAATTAATTTCGACCAAACACAGTAGCAGGTCAATAAATGTCAAAGAAAAATATCTCCAAAAATCTTTCGATAAACACACGCATAGTATGCAGACTGCATTAATCACGAAAATATTACTGACACTCTGCGCTGCGTAGAGTCGCTTCAAATGAAATGACAGTTCTTACCAATCCACCCACTTGCGTTTCGTACGATGTCATTCTATTATGGGAGGGATTATGCTAGATATGTCCACCCTCCCTTCCTCTCCAACCCATGAGAATGTAATTAAACCAAACAATGCTCATACTCCACACACACACTATAGTCGGCGCAGTAGTTTTTGGCCGGTGGAATTTTCAAGGGGAAGGCTAGGAGCGAGTCACTTGTGCGATAGTATAATGCTGACTGCACCGAGGAGCTTATCGGACTGAACGCCCAAACAAAAGAAATACACTGACCGTGCCACCTCAGGTACAGAGACTAGGCCCGTCCGCCAGTTCCGCCAACTTCTCCACCGGCCAAAGACTACTGCGTCGACTATACCAACTAACCGACAGTAAAAGACTAACCAAGACTGCAAAGAAATAATTCTACACGCGATTTCACAATCGTCGCCGTGAGAACATTTCTCAAAAAGTGCTAACCACTGCGCAGAATCGGTTCTGTAATTCCGGATATGAAATATGCAAGCTGACAGACGTACACAAACCTCCAGATCACACCTTCAATTCACGCTCGCTTTGGAAAGTAAGTGTAAATACACAATCGGGGTATACTGGTGTGACTTTCACGAGACTGCATTTCTTGTCGAATGGCGTGGAATGTAGAAGGGTCACAAAGATCATTAGATTGTAAAACATCACAGCTTTCTTTCAAGTGCATGAAAGCTGATAAAACTTCTCATCTTACCTTCAAAACAGGACACGTTTTTGGTCGACTTCGGAGTGTCTTAACCTCTGAGAACAAGAAACCGATTAACGGGTATAAGTTAAAAAACCTCAAAAACATGATTAATCCTTTGTCCGTTATCCGATGTCCTGTTCGTGTTTCAGCAGCCAGAACTGCTAACTATAACTAACACGCACAGAAAACACACACACTGTGACTTCCTGCTTGCAATCCACTTTCGTTACCTTGTCCTTTGTATGTACGTAAGTCTCAACAAGTTCATGGAGGTTAGATAATGTAGAAACAAACAAAAGTGAGAAGGCGTATTCCAACGGATACAGTCACCAAGAACATCCTCTGCTATTTTTCACACGTAATTGGACTTGATGTTAAATTACTGTAGGTACAGAGCGTGTCGTTTCAAATGCAACCCAACAATAAGCCACATAGGCTTACTTATTATTTAGTGTTCTGTCTGACGACAGGTCCATATGAACAGGATCCTTCCATCCTTTTCTCGGACTGGGACCTGTTCATATACGTTCTTGGAAGATGATCCAGAAGTGGTTTGCCATTGCCTTCTTCTGTGTGTGAATGGAGTAATTGTTGGGATGCCACGGAG